AAAGTATTTTAATTGAAAAGTCATATTACAAAATTGAAGAGTATGTTTTAGATAAAGAAATATGGAAAAACAACAAGAGTCTAGATTCCACACAATTTGAATCAAAGTGTATTCCATAGCATTTAAGTTTATTTGAAAAGAGCAATCCCTGAAGTTTCTTGCTTGTTCTTCTAAGGGAGGTCAGCGTAGTGAACGAGCAGTAGCTTAAAAAATGACGTTTTCAAGTGTAAATATTTACCTATGGAATAAATGACTATTTAACTTTACTTGATACCACGTTACAAAATTTCAAAAAGCATTTATTCTAAAACATAAAGCGATGTATGTTATCACCAACTTGTAGAGCGCCTAGTGGAAAAGGTCGCCCAGGGAAATACTGCCACCTTAACGGCGTACCTCTCCCGCCAAGCAGTAATACGAGCATTACTGTGTTTCGGTTTTGAAAGGTAACGAGCTGGTGTAATTATAGACACATTGTCTTGTCGTGTCTTGTCATTGTCTTGTCTTGAAATTATAGACACGTGTCAGCTAATGGCTCAGGTTGACGCACGCAGTGGCAGTGCTATAGCTGTCTGTCGCTTACTATCAGGCAGACGACTTATTCGTCCTGTAGTTTTGATATCATAAAAAACTGACTTAAGAGTCTACCTCAGCACGAATTCAATTTTTTCCCGTATTAATACGGTTCATTTTGCTTGGGTCGAGCGACAGGGACACTGGCTTTATTTCAGAATTTATTTTTTTACATATTAAATCAAATTAAAGCCTTTTAAAAAATGTAGATCGTATACTATATGTGTTCTATTTACTTCAGTTGATATTCAAAAAGTCATTGGTACCTATTGAATACAGCGGTTTTCTTGTAAAATTTCGACGTAAATTTGTGTTTTTTTTTCTTTTCTATAGTGAAAATTTTTAAGAATCGTGTTTTCACACATTTATAGTATCAGTGCATGTCCTCAACTTTATTATATATTTTTTCCAAATTAATTGATACAACACTATTATGCAGAATTAACCAAAGCCATTTAATAATAATAATAAATAAATCTTTATTGCAAAAACAAAACAGGTACAAAATAGTGCTTAGCTCCCAAACTAGGATCCCCTGTACTATGGGTAGCTAAGTCTTTCGTCCGTTGCAATTATAATTAATTTAATAGTAACCTTAGTTTAATTAAACAAAGAGTAAAGTAATTTAAAAAAGTAGGTAATTAACACTAGTGGTTTCAAGTTTGAACACATTTACAATTTGACATAGTAACATTTTGTAAGCCATAATAAAACAGTCGAAAAGAAATAGAACAAAAAAAAAAAATTAACAAAAAAGTTAACAAAACCAACGAATCGGAAAACAACCAACCGAAGTCTCAACATTGTAGGTGGATCCACATCAACACCAAAATCAAATCATAAAAGCAAGGTAGGTAGGCAAAGTATTAAGACTGAGTGAGTTCGCCAACCACTAATCACCGGTACAAAGGAAACATAGGTATAGATGGAATAAACAACATGCAGTACACTCGCGGAATGTAGATAAAACATATCATAGATTATCTATTTATTTACTTTAATTTAATTTAGTTTAATTTTATGTTTAGTAATTGTTCAGTAAAGTTAAATGTTAAGTATTATTAAATATATATTTAGTTTTATCTTAATATAGTGACTAGATTTAATATCTGCTGGATTTTAATGCATGCCCTGGTTATACGGGTTGTGTACCGCTACGAGTTCTTCAGTATGTACATAAGATTTATTAACTAGCCAGTTAAACAGGCGCCTTTTTACTAGACCCGCAGGTTTACATAGTATTTGTAAATCATTATTTACCCGCGTGTACAATAAAGGTCCCATGTGAAAATAAAATCTTTGGGCAAATACAGATCCAGTTCGAGGTATTGCCCAGGGGCGTGTTCTGGACTTTAAGTTTCGTAACAACCTGACATTATCCTGTTGGTGTGAGATCTTTAATTCTTTAGCTGACCTATGAAAACGTAGTATTACTTTCTGAATATAAAGTTGCCTAACAGTTAACAGCTTATTTTCATTGTACAATTGATAGGTGGGGTAGCGGAAACCTCTATTAAAAGTTACTTTAAGAGCAGTTCGCTGTGCACGTTCCAGTCTTAAAAGTGTAGTTTTTGCTGCACCACCCCAGACCACGATACAGTATGTTAGCAACGACTGACACAAAGCAAAATAAACAGTCCGTAAGAGGTAGCCATTGGCAACGTAGCGCAGTTTTTTGAAGATGTGAAGAAGTTTTCTAGTTTTTGTCACCAAGCTTTCTATGTGGGCTTTCCAGTTAAGATTCTGATCTAGCAAAATGCCGAGGTACTTAATCTGTACACAGCGTTCAATTGATGGACAGGTGCATGTAAAATTATCTCTGCATAGCGAAGAATGTATCCTCAGGCTCTTAACGTCATCAGGAGGACGTGACTTGGCATTTATGTGGAAACACAAAAATTTCGTCTTAGCTGTGTTGAGTGTCAACAAGTTATCAGCAAGCCAATCAGTAACATGTGACATACCTATTTCTGCGGACGCCTTAACATCCGTCCAGCATTTGCCCTTGAAAATGATTGCTGTATCGTCAGCGAACGTCACAACCCGGGCCGACGCTATTTCCAGACCACACAAATCATTTATGTAAACAAGAAACAGCGTCGGCCCAAGGACACTTCCCTGGGGTACGCCAAAGGTCACGTTACTCATATCACTGCTACAAGAATCAAGCTTTACAAACTGCTTACGTTCCGTCAGATAGCTCGTGAACCAGTCCAATGCCAGTCCTCTGACTCCAAACGCTTCTAGTTTCCTAAGCAATAACGGAATTGAGACGGTATCAAAAGCCTTCCGAAGATCCAAGAAGACACCGATACACTTATCACCACTGTCCATGCCCCGTACAATGCATTCAGTGAGAAGTGTAACAGCGTCCTCAGTGCATTTACCAGGCCGAAATCCAAACTGGTTTAGCGCCAGCAAATTAGATGATTCCAAAAAATTTAACAACCGCCTGTTTACCACTTTTTCCAATAGTTTAGCCACAAGGGTGAGCAAAGAGATCGGACGATAATTATTTACATCATGCCTATCGCCTGATTTGAATACAGGACAAACTTGAGCAACTTTTAGCAGTGTCGGCACACGCCCCGTGGACAAACTTAAATTGATCACATGCGCAAGTGGTACAGCAATGACGTGTCGCACTTCCTTAAGCACCCTGGGAGTCAATCCATCCCATCCAGGTGCACCGTCCGTCTTAAACGTAAGTATGATAGTAGAGATCTCTGACGGATCGGTTGGACTTAGATAAAAAGATGCTGCGTTATTATACAGTCCATGATTAACCTTATTTTTTAGATTGTCTTCCGTAACGCCTGTAGATTCAAGTATATTATTAGCCAGATTTGACCCTATTGAAGTAAAAAAGTTATTGACAATATTAGCCGAATCTCTTAAGGTGCCTCCTAGATTGTGCAGATCATATTGAGCTTTTGACTTAGGGGTATCAATATTGCATATGGTTTTAATGTTTTTCCAGGTCCTTTTCAGATCTCCAGAGCTCTGTTGAAGCCGTATAGCATTATATTGATTCCTAATGTTTTGGAGTACATAGTTACATATATTCCTGTACCGTAAATAAATACACTCGAGGTTTTTGTCCTGGCTATTACGTCTGTGCGCCCCATGCAAGCGATCGCGTCTTTGGATACATTTAAGTAGGCTAGGAGTAACCCAGGGTTTCAAGTTACGCTTATTGTGAGATTTCCGGACAGTAGTACAGTTGCTAATGATTGTTTTAAGAGTATTCGTGAAGTACTCATTGGCAATATCAGGGTCGTTAATATTATACAAGTTAGTCCAATCAAAGTCATAAAGCCCGGTATATAAACAATTAAAATTAATTTTTGTAGTTCGTTCAGGCTTTGAGGGGAGTCTAGTGGTGTTCGTTTTAATTGAGGCCAAGATGGTATAGTGATCAGTAATTGAGGTTTCACAAACAATTGTTTTAATCTCTAGCGTGTTTTTTGCTGCAAAATGATCTAGACAATTTTTACCGTGAGTTGGGTCATTGTAGGCCATGTGATAGCCATGGTAGGCTAGAAGATTGAGGTATTTGTCACTGTCGCTGATTCTACTATTAGGTCCAATATCGATATTTATGTCTCCTGTAAGGATACATGTTTTACAATTCTGTCCTGATAGAACATTGTCGAGTGAATTTAAAAAGCTGTCAATTTGAGACTTGGTTCTGAAATTTGGAGATCGATAAATAGCAACAATCGAGACACCAGGCTCAACCAAAATTGTCAGACAGTTTCCAAATTGGAAATTGGGTTCATTTATCTGAACATCTAATCCAAATCTAGAGTATATTACTAAACCATCATTTTGGTTAAGGTAATTTCTTGAGCAGTGGTATTTATAGTTCAGTAAAGCAAAGTGCGTGTACTTATCCTGTAGCCAACACTCGGTTAAGATGATGATGTCTGGCAGAAAATTTAATCTAGCGAGATATGCTTCAAAAACAGTTAGATTTTTGTTGATGCTGCGGATATTTTGGATTACAATTGACAGGCTATCACCCAACACATCAAGTTTGTACTTACAATCTTCAACATCACGCAAATACGAGTGTTGCTGGAGAGGAGTTCGTTCGACATCATCGATTACGTAATTTAAAGTGGCCATTTATAAAATGTAAGAAGAGGGTGCTCCAGCATTGTTGCATACCAATTGAAACAAAGTAGTTCAGTGCTGGGAGATTCAGAAATATCTTGATAATTAGTGTTTAATTTTGATGAGATTACTGGTTTTACCGGTGGTTGGTTAGTTGCTAATAGAACATTGTTTGAGTCATAGGTTGTGTTCATAATTCTAAAATTTTCAGGTAAACTTAAACTACATGACAAAAAAATACGAAATAAAAGTAAAGAAAGAAATAAAAATAAAAATAAAAATATACTGTCCTTACTGTTCCTATACAGTCACTTTTTAAGATCATCTACTTGCACTTCACTTTTCAAAAGGATCGCTGGAGAATCATCCTGTTTCTTCACATAGATCTTCCCATGTCTAGTCCAGCAGTATTTGTAGTTGTGGTGACGTTTAAGATCTCTTGCAAGATAGTACAGCTTTGCAGCAAACGGTGTCAGGTAGTCTGAAGCGAAGATTGGTGTATTGTTTCCAGCAAACCCAAGCTTATTAGTGCCCAACGGGTTATTACTGTGTGCCTTGTTATAGTTTCTGAGGCTTCCTAGGAATTGGGTTTTAGACTGGACAGTGTTCATTTCAACTATAAGCGGTTTGTTGTTCTTATCTTTGGTGGATACTCTACTTATGTCCAGCACTGAATCTTTACTAAATTCCAGCGAGAGGCAATTGTAGATATTTTTAACCACTTCAATCTTATTCTCGTCTTTGGAGAATGGAATGTTTCTTATCTCCACTGATTTCTCGCGTAGTTTGCGGTTTATCTCCTCCAGTCTGGTCTGTAACTCATGTATATGTGCCTTATTTTCCTGTTGCACCGTCTTTATAGTGGTGGTCTCTTTAATCTTATCTTCCAGAGTTCCGATTTTCACAACCAAGTCGTCATACTGCAGACAGTTGAATCGGACAGCTTCTTCTAGATCCTTCTGCGTTCTTTGTATATCGGCATTCTGCAGCTTTATCTTATTTAGATCAGCAGATAAGGATTCCAGTTGCTTATCTTGCTTTGATTGGATGTCCATAAGTATAGACAAGACTGTTTCTTGAAACTGATCAAGATTGTTGCCATAATTGCCCTGAAGACGCTGACGAAGAGTAACGTGGCTGATAGGTGATTCATGTTCTTCAGTTTCAGACGGATTGCTTTCACGAGTAAAAGTATCATCGGCAGACATATTTTATCTGTTGTGTTAGGGTGTACTATATTTTTAATGAATTGGCGGTAACACGTACGCCTCGGGTGACTGCTCGGACGAAAGAGGAGGAGATTTAAGGTTTCATAGACTCTTAAGGTGAGAAAGTCATGGTTCTACGGCGCATCACTAGCCACCGTTAATCTATGGTCGGCGACGGCCCGGCCTCTTGACAGCTCTCCTTCTCCTCCTCTCCGGTGACTTCTAACGTACGAGACGTGTGCAATGACCGCAATTTTATTTAAAAAATATACAGTATAACGTAGAACCGAACAATACAAGTCAAATTGGGACTTCAAATTTGACTTGTATTCGTCAGTTCTACGTTCTACTGTTAATATTTTAAATATAGAGATCAAGAGGCCGGGATATCGATATGGTTTCATCTTCGTAGAAACACGCTGCATTACAAAACGCCTAGGTCTTTATTTACAATCTCACCCAACAATGGTAGGTAACATAAGAAGACACTTGCTAATGAGTTAACATATTTTTAACGTGAGAAAAAATGTTGACAGCTTCCGTGAGTGATCTATATTAATTTTCCAAGCTGTCAACGAGCTACGGGTTCACAGACACTGCTTTCCACGCCATCACCGTCTGTCTGTCATTTCTTCTGACATTGGACATGTTAAAAACGGGCGTTCAATGATGTTATAAAGTATTGGGACGGTGGGCCATATTATCTATACAGATTTACAAAAACCATTTTTTTAAATAATATTATGTGACGGGAGGAATAAGTCGTGCTCCTGATGGTAAGTTACACGCCTGTCTATAACAGTTGCTTTAAACCGCAAAGATCTGAGGGGTACTGCCACTGCGCCTATCACCCTGAGACATAAGTTCACAAGTCCCATGTGTCTGTAGTTTCACCAGAATCCTTACTCTTCAAACCCGGAACACAGTAATACTGACATTACTGCATGGCGGCAGAAATAAGTAAGGTGGCAGTACTTCCCTGGAGGAACTTTTCACAAGGAGCTCTACTGCCACTAACAAATAACTCTACTGCTACTGACAAGGAGCTCTACTGCTACCAGTTAGCTCAAGTATGGCAACAGAAGTTCAAGTATTCAAGCAAAATTCAATTTATTTAAAAAAATCATGATAATAACACTCTGTGTTATTATTATACATATACCTTATAATGTAAGTTTGCATTATTTGTAATTTCTTGGTTTTTGGATATGTAACGTTTTCATTTTTGTTTTTCAAACACACCAACGTTTCGGACCCTTCGGTCTAATTGGTCTACTTTCCCGATCGGTCTACTTTCACTATTCGTCTATTTTCCCATTTCGTCTACTTTCCTGTTTGGTCTACTATCCCGTTTGGTCTAGTTTCCTGTTTGGTCTATTTCAGTTTTTGGTCTACTTTACCGATCGGTCTAATTTTCAGGTCTATTTTAATGATGCGTCTACTCACATAGTCTCAGTACAAAGTACTAAAAAAACTGACCTCAAAAGTTTGTGAAATTACATCTATTTGCCAAGTTTTATTAAAATCGGTTACCGGAAAGTGCGCGAAACCGGATTCATCCCCTAGTTTGCCACCCTTAGAGGTGGAATATTTTCCTCAAATTTACATAGGACCAATACTAAGGTACCCTCTTTCCAAGAAAAATAGGAATCATCAAAATCGTTTCACAAATGCCGTGAGTTATCGCGCAACACACATACAAAAAAAATACAGTCGAATTGAGAACTCCCTCCTTTTTGAAGTCGGTTAAAAACTACTTGATTTTGTTTTTTCAAATGATTAACGTAAAGCGGCCATCATTATCAAAAACCAAAATCAACGATCGGCTACGGCTGAACTTCATAAGCTTCAACTATCGGATCATGACACAGCTCAAATGCTACATATACCAGTCTCAGATTTTATTTAACAACCGTTGGAGTACTATGTAAATGTCCGGGATTATTGTTTGGAAATCATGAATAAATTTCGTAATCATCAGAGTCAATTAAATTTTTCGAATGTTTTTTCTCAAACAAATGTAAATAGAGCAATGCAAGAATTCCATCAAGTTTTAATTGTCAAAAATAAATATAGAAAACCAAAATGGATTACCAAGGGCATTTTAAAAACCTGTAAAACCAAAAAGATATTGCGTTATCAATACTACACGGCAAAAAGTAATGAAAAGAAGAAAAAATATAGATTATATTCGAAAATTTTGCGACGCTGTTTGAATATGGCTCTGAGACACCATAATGATAAACAAATTTTACGTGCGAAAAGTATGGGGAAAATATCGTGGAATATAATAAAAAACGAATATTGTAATAGAACACAATTATACAATAATAAATTTTTAAAGAAAATTATAATAAATGACAAAATTATAAGTGACCCAATTGATATAGCCAATAAATTTAATGATTATCATATCAATCTGACTAACACACAAAATAAGTCATGCAGAAATACTAACAAACAAATCTTCCTTAATGAATAGTATATTTATAGAGCCCTTTGCACTGAATGAAATTAGCGCTATCATTAAAACGTTGAAATCTACAAACGCCACAGGTTACGACGAAATACCAACAAATGTGATAAAACACTGTGATAAGCAACTGACGCCTCCTCTCACAAACTTAATTAATCTGTCGATTGAAAAAGGCATATTTATAAAAATTTCTTTAATGAAACCAATCTATAAAAAAGGCGCAAGAGCGTGCATTGATAATTATCGACCTATAACTTTAATCCCCGTGCTATCCAAAATATTTGAGAAATTCACGAAGAAGAGGCTGCTAAGTTTTATTAATAAGCACAATATAATCAAACAAGAGCAATGCGGGTTTCAATCGACTCTAATCGAAATCTACTACACTGGCTGCATTTCATCTTGTACGTCAGATAGTGGAGAACACTAATGCAAAAATACCTACAACGGTGATATTTTTTGACATAACTCGCGCGTTTGACTTTGTATCTCATGACATTTTGCTGAAAAAACTAAATAATTTAGGTATTAGAGGCGTGATTCTTAACTGGTTAGCTTCCTATTTGGAAAATAGGAAGCAAGTTGTAGAAATAAAACATTTAAATAAAAACGGCTGTGTTGTATCAGCAAGATCGCAATATAGAGTCAATGCGTGTGGTGTCCCGCAAGGTTCTCGGGCCATTATTGTTCTTGCTCTACATAAATGACCTACCAGAGGTTACACGACATAAATGCATATTATTTGCAGATGATATTTCGGTCGTAATTCCTTACAAAAATGACATAATTAACTACGAATTAGACATAAACAATTCAATACATATAATAATAAATTGGCTTAAACTTAATAATTTGACTGTTAACTTGACTAAAACTAAATTCATTCAATTTGGTACAAATCGACAAACAAAAATGAACCTTAACATAAATTACAAGGATGTCAATATTCAGGAGGCAGACTCTACAACATTCTTAGTCGTGGAAATAGACAGTAGTTGCAACTGGTCACAACACGTCGAGTCACTGGTAGATAAATTATGTACATCGATACGTATACGTCTTAAGGAGGTTGCGAAGTATATCATCACCATGTACAATTTTGACTGCTTATCATGGTTACGTTGCGTCTCTGCTTAGATATGGACTCTTGGTTTGGGGTAACTCAACTGAGTGTAAAAAATTGTTCACAGCTCAAAAAAAGTGTGTTCGAGCAATGACCGGTGTTTCCCTACGGGAATCTTGTGCACCTTTGTTTAAAGAATTGGGAATTTTGCCGTTACCGTGTATGTACATTTTTGAAGTGGCATGGTTTGTTAAGCAAAATCTAAACCTTTTAAAAAAAATTACAGATGTACATAGTAGACGTATAAGGGACCCAAATAGACTGGTGTATAATAATAAACCTAGATTGTGTTATTACAAAAATCATTGTAACGGTATGTGTGTCAGAATTTATAATGCTCTACCAAAAGACATTCAAACGTTACCAAATAATTTGTTCAGAAACAGACTTAGTGAATGGCTTAGAGACAAAAATTATTACAAAATGACTGATTTTTTAGATAAATGTTGACATGAAATTAGTGCTAAATGTATATACATGTACAATGTAATAATGATGTATAAATATTTTATAGTTTGACATAGAAGGTTATTATTTTGTTGTTTTTAATTGACTGATTATTCTTTGTTTCTTATTGGATGTCGACATGAAATTATAAGGTATATTTATGTTTAATATAATCATGATGTATGATATTTAAAAATTTGACATTGATAGTTTATTGTTCTGTTGTTATTAATTAATTAATTAATTGATTATTATTATTATTATTATACCTTGTACACGTCCGATGACAATGCTATAATTAAACTAAATTTTTGCATGCCTAGTCAGGTAAAACATGTGTTCTGTAATAATTGTTCCATATTTCGCACCATGTTTTAAGCAAATAAAATTTCATTTCATTTCATTTCTAGTCGACAAATTTAACTAGTTGGTCGTCGACGATGGACGATGGTTTCGTTAACAGAAGACGCGTCCACTGCCAATCTGTTATTACCTTAGGGGCAGGGGAATCTGATTTTTTGGCAGCACGGGAACGCTTGCCCTTCGTTTCCTTTACGAGAGTAGATATATTCGGAGGAGTCGTTGGAGTTCATCGACCATGCACAGCATTTCTTTTTGTGAAGGATATTTTGCGGTTGGCCGCTGATGGCCTTGACTGCGCCACCGAAAAAGAGGGCGAGCTGAAGGCTCATAACGCCTAAAATATAACAAGATTCCGGTTGATATACGAAATTTGCCTTTCACGAGGTTTAAAACTATAGTGAAACAAAAACTTTATACTAAAGGTTATTATACAAGTTCTGCGTACTTGGATGACAAAAATACAAAAATAAGGTAGTAACCCATTCAGCTCATGGAGGTAGTCTCGATCTCTGATGTTTCAAATAAAAAAATAAATATTGTAAATGTTATTTACAAAGAGCAACCCCTAGAATTTCTTGCTCATTCTTCTCA